AAGACAACAAATGCAAACGGCATTAGTGAAGTGATAGATATGACAATTATTTTTTCCCTTTCCAATAAAAAGTTGTCTACTTTTTTTAATGTACAAGTTATCTTTTTTTTTTTATCTTATTCTTTTTCTAATTTTATTTTTATTTATTCTATCCTCCTCTCTTCTTCTCTTCTATTTCTTTTCTATTTCTCTTTTCTAATCTTATATCTCTCTTATTCAAAGCTTAAGAATTTACTTATTCTATTGATAGTTTATATTTTAAATTTGGAGAAATATATATTGCAGCAGCCCAATTCATTTTTGGAAATCAAGTCTTCATAGTTCTTGAATTCGGTAATATCATTCTAATTTCTAATATTATATTGGTTTTGTGTTTTATGTTTATTATATTTTTTATTTGATATTGTAATAGTGTTTAAAATATTTGTTAGATTTTAATATGTCAACTAGAAATATGAATCTGGTCATTCAAAACTTAAAAAGAAAAAAGAAAAAGTACGATAACTTGATAAAATACTCAAAAATAGTGCTCTTGATAAATTTTAGAAGTGGTTTGACTATATTATCGATTGAAAAAGAATTATTAGAAGAGATTGACTACACAAAAATTATTAACAACTTTGCATCTCAAAAAGCTAGAAAAATAGATTTAAAATAAAAACATTTATAATTTATAATTTTTTTTTAAGGCCTCTAGTTCGATTTTGGCCTTAGGCCACCAACGGGTTTGAGCCGCCCCTGAGTCAAGTAGATATGTGTTTTAAAGATCGTCAATAGTTTAAGAACGAAACTAACAATTCATGTCAAGTTCAAAGATATTTTTAATACTTCTCTTTATAATTAACAAATATTGAGATAATAGATAATTATTTAAAAACATAAATTGAATTAGCCAATATGACAAGGATATACATCTAATTATATAATTATTCCAAAAAAATAAATAGAAACTCATACTTATCAAGTGGACGTAATATTAAAGATTATGGACACACAACACTTATATATAAGACAATTACATATGCATTTATTTCTTGAATTAATGAAATGTAACTTGTTGATAAAATTGGTAGTTGGGACAACAAGAAAATGAGAGATGTAGATAGAAATCAAGAAACCGAATATATAACTTTCTAGAATTTATGAGATTCGACACTCTTGAGGTGTCAAAGTTATTCGTTTGATCAATCGGTATTTTGGTAAAGGGTGAAAATTATTTACTTCAATTTCGATTTTAAAAATCAAATTTCCTTTCAATTTTGAACATAGCTAAATAAATTTTTTAGGATAATTTACCTAAATAGCATAGTGTTAAGAGTTAATTACATTATTTTTTAAATTGTAATTTTTTTAATTTTTTTTATGGATTTTGGATATATCACTGAACTTCCGGATACATTAGCAGATATCTGCATACATAGGTGAAGAATGTATCCAAGAGGGAAGGGATGTATCAGAGAGGGATAGGACATCTAGATCTGGGCTTTCGAATACATCAGTAGACCTCCGGATACATACGTGAGGGATATATCCGAGAGAGGAGGGATGTATCAGAGAGGGATGCATTCGAGAGGGGATATGAATGTATCAGCGAGTGGAGAGTGATGTATCCGAGAGAGGATTTTTGAAAGAAAAAAAATGGCAGGAAATTTTAGAGATTATGGTAAAATAAGATGTGTATTTAAGTAATTTTTCCAAATTTGTATCGTTATTCTATACGGTATTTATTTTATTCTTGTCATTTCAATCTTTCATATACGTATTAGTTTTTTTTTATATTATATAAAAAAAATGATTTTTAACCTATGTATTTATTAATTTTTACTTAATTAAGTTTATTAATATTGTAAGTAAAATAATTTTTTTATAAGTTTGTCGCAAGCTCTATTTTATTTTTTATGATTACTATTTTAATATTGCATGTATTAAGTAAGTATGTATGTATCATAAGCATGCATATTTAAGTTTAACATATCTTTAATTGTCTACTATTTATATAGATAAATAAATTTTGATTGTTATTAATGAAAAATCAGATAATATTTAAGAATTCATTATAAAATATACATTTACTTTTTTGTATTACTTGCATAAAAATATGTTTATAATTATAGATTATTGTTTCTGTTAATAATAATAATAATAATAATTTATTCCATTCATTTGTTTCATTGTAAAATGACATAAACTTATACACTCAATTAATATTTCTCATTTTTTTTTATGAAAATAATATTTTTTACAGAAAATTTATTGTATAGATAAAAAAACAAATATCTTGATTTTAAAGAAATAAAAAAATAACAATTGATGATATAAAGGTAAAATAAACTTTTAGAAAAGTACTTGATAGTACTTAACTGAATGCAAATCGGAACTCTACCCCTGCCAAGCCATAGTGGTCTAGATGATAATAATCCTTCTGTCCAAATTTATGTGTTTCTGTTTAAATTTTAATAGTTAAACAATTTTTTCTTTAATTGTAAATCTTTCACATATTTTTTAAATATTTTAAATTATTGATTATTGTGAATTACAATATTTTTTACATTGTTTTCAAATATATAATTTTCATATCAAGAAATTTAAAAAATTCATATCCAATTCCAAAGTAAAATTAATTAATGTTTTGACTTTTAAAATTCGAACGATACCACGTGAACTAAAAAAGTGGGAGTAAATTGCATGTTTTTAGTTTCAAATTTCAGGTAGACTGCTCACCTTATTGTTCACTCAAGTTTAGTTGGGCAGCTTGCCTGATTATTGTTTAAAGTAGGTGATATTTATGAGTTCATTTGGACTTTCTCTTTTTTTGTTTTGATTGTCTTCTCTCTTTAATCTGTTTAAATATTAAAGTGGATTCAATATTAGAGATTAGTATGAGCACTTATATTAAGACAATTAGGTATGCATTTAATTCTTAAATAAATGAAATCTTACTAGTTGATAGAGGTGGGACAAAAAGAAAATGAGACATATGTAAATACAACGCAAGAAAATGAGACATATGTAAATACAACGCAAGAAATTAAACATTTAGTTTTCTAGAATTAAACAGATACAGAACATCGTATATCAAATGAAAAAAGAATTATAGTTATCATGTAGTATTAAAGATTATGGGCATACACACTTAGATATGAGACAATTACATATGCATTTACTTCTTAAATAAATAAAATCTTATTACTTGATAGAGGCATGTAAAAAAAAAAAAAAAGACATATTGTAGATAGAAAATAAGAAATCGAACATTTAGTTTTCTTGAATTAAACGAATACAAAATATCGAATGAAATAAAAAAACTAGCTATCAAATCAATGTAGCTAGTATTAAAGATTATGGGCGCACACACTTATATATAAGACAATTACATATGCATTTACTTCTTAAATAAATGAAATCTTACTACTTAATAGAGACATGGAAGAAAGAAAATGAGACACTGTAGATAGAAAATAATAAGGCAAGAGAGAACTTATGACCTCGCGGATGGAGAGGGATTCGAACCTCCAGTATTTCTTAAAATACTTACCGAATATTTAGCTTTCTTGAATTAAATAAATACAAAATATCGAATGAAAAAAAGAATTCTAGTTATCAAGTCAAATATAGTTTTAAAGTTTATGGGCATACACACTTATATATAAGACAGTTACATATGCATTTACTTGATAGAGGTAGCATTATAGATTGAAAACATGAAACCAAACATTTAGCTTTCTTGAACTAAATGGATACAAAACATCGAATAAAAAAAAGAATTCTATAGTTATCAAGTCAACGTAGTATTAAATATTATGGGCACATACACTTATATATAAGACAATTACATATGTTTTACTTCTTAAATAAATGAAATTTTATTACTTGATAGAGGTGGGACAAAAAAAAAAGTCATTCATTTTTATTTGTTCACTTTGACATTGCACACCTCTTAAGAAATAATGATTGATATGAATATTTTACTACAATACACATTAATTTAAAATTTCTAGTGCAACTTCAATTGTCAACTTACAGTCTTTTAGTTTTCAGTTCAGCATCAATTATTAGGGCTTTAAATGATATGTATGTTTATCTATGAATGTATTCTCTTGCAAGGTATGCTACTTTTCCATTTCATTTTACTTGGCTCTTATATCAAAAATAGATGTTTCAAGTTATTTGTCCATTTTAATAAATCAATAAGTTTATTTTTTCCACACTACCCTTAGTATTAAAAAACTACTCCCTCCATTTCATATTAATTGAATTGTTGAGACATTTTTCATTTTTCAAATTAACTTAATTGTTCAATTTTCAAAACTACTTTTAGAATGTTTTTCCAATTTTACCTTTCATTAGTTAGTATTGGAATTAGTTATTAATTAATGTTTAGTTATTATAATCATAATTTTGATAATAATTATTAAGGGTAAAAATGGAAAGTTAAGCCTAATTTATGTCTTAATCTTCTTTTCTTAAAATGTGTGAAATACCTCAACAATTCAATTAATATGAAATGGAGGGAGTATAAAATAGTAGTAGTCAAATTTAGAGATCCAAAACCTCAGATTAGTTTAGTAAAATACATTTCTTAATGAAGTTTTCTTAAGAGGTGTGTCAGGTCAATATGAGTCAAGTAATACGAAACTGATGAAATATCTGGCTGGTAAGAAACGAACTCTAATTTTCTTTAATTATTATTCTGTGTAGAATGGTTACTTTTCTTGTTGGAAAAGAAATTAGGGTTATATTAGGATTATATAAATTAGCCTAGGAAAGTCGTGTATTCCTTTATGGTTACCAACATTTAATTTTAAAGCAATAGAGAGAAATCATGAGCATTAAAGTATGGAAGATTTGAAGTTTTGAGTTGTTTCAAGTCTATCAAGTTGTAATCATTTTTCTTCATTGAATTAGTAATTTGTAATGTTTCTTTCCCATCAATAATAGAAAAACTACCTAAATACACAACTTATTTTACCATATTCTTTAAAATTTCCTACCATTTGAAAAAAATTACAAAAATCCCTACTCTCTCCTATTCTAGATAATCACTTTACGCGATTAATCGATCGAATACATTACGCGAAGTATCGGTCGAATACATCACTTTACGCGATGTATCAAAACATAGGAGATGTATCGAAAAAATGTTGAGTGAAGTATCCGAAACCGAGATGTGATGTATCGAAACGTTGAAGGATGTAATCTGAATTTGGGACGCAATGTATCAGGTTAGCCCACACCATTTTTACAAGGTTGAGGCTCAAATAATTCTGGTCCACACACCTGACCAGACCATTTCCACTTCACTTATTTGTATTTGTATTACTCCAATCTCCCTCCCTCTCTAAACCGTAACCAGAAAAATCATGTGGGCCGCGATGAGCCTTTCAGTTGCCGCACCGGCACCATTCGCCACCACTAAACCGGCGGCAAATCGCCTTTCGGCCGGATCTCCGAGGAAGTTTCAGCTCTACTCGCAGCTTAGAAACCTCGACTTAGCATATGCGGCGGAGCAAACGCAGCAAATTCGGAAGAAATCGCAAACAAATCATTTAGGTTATAGGGCGGAGCAGAAGCAGAAATTTTGGAAGAAATCACAAACAACGCACATACAACAAGCAGAAGAAGAACAAGTAGAAGAAAAACATGTAGATTCAAAGGATGAAGAAAAGAAACTGACCGGATTTGACGTATTGCAGGCACTGGAAAAAGCAACGGCACGGAAAATGAAGAAAAAGAGAAATGGAAGAGATGGTTCATTGTTAACTAGTAGAAAAGTGAGTGAACAAACAGCTGCAGAGAATGAAGCTACGGCGGATTACGGTAACAAAATTGTTCGACCATTGAGCATAAGAGAAGATTGGGGAACTCGTTTAGATCAACTGGAAAAAAGACTTGAACAACTTGTAGATACAATAGCTTGAATATGCACAATTGCTAATACTAAACATACATACACATAAAAAACAATTGTTGTTTTTAGTGTATTATTATTCCCTCTAATTTATACCTATAGTGATAGATTATACTTATAAGATATAAATATAGTTTGATCTTTTGGGATCTTCAATACTATGATGAGCATATCAACTTGTGCAAATAGACACTTTAAACTATCCAAAATTTAAACAAGCACACACACGCCCGACGTGACATCCTACACATATAATGTTTTTGAATGTGTGCAAATAGACACTTGAACTATCCAAAATTTGAACAAGCAGACACACACTTCATGTCATTGCAGTTACGGATCAGAGGACCAGGGCTGCTAGCTCCATCTAAAAATCCAAATCTGGAATGACTATGACAAACAGTGAAGCTACAAGAGACTCAAAGCAGTTTATCTCAACAATTCATGAAGCAATTTATGAACTAAAAGTCAAGCAGACAATATAATGAAACGCCCAAAACATCTCCAACATCTATGTTTGTTTAGTTACAATGCCTCATTAAGTTGCTGAGATTGGTCTAACTTTTACTTAACTAAGTTTCCTTTTTATAAATAAAGAGGAAACAGGAAATAGTTGTCCTGGATTACTGGTCTGGTGTTCAATGTAAGTAGCAAGTACAACATTTCACCGCTCTAATATGGTCGATAACGTCTACCACGGTTGGAATCATCTCCGCCACCACTGGATCCTCCTCCTCGTCCTTGTGGTCCACCAGCACCATTGTTCCTGTCATTCCTCCGAGGCCGAACAGGTGGTGCCTGAACTCCTGGCTGCTGGCTGCATGGGAAATATCACAACGTTAAAAGGTTTTGATTTATTCTATGCACAGTCTATACTTCATTGGTGTTGCTAAGATATTGCATTATCAAAACTAGAATATTTCAACATTTATCTGAACATCTAGTTATAATGTGATCATCCAGTCTCCAGTATACGAAAAACTGAAAATTACAGTAGTGATGATAAAAACTTTAAACTCATATTCAGAATACGAGCTAGAGGCAACCAGAAATAGATGTTAATATTCATAGGAACTTACAGGACATAGCCGATCTGACCATCTGGTAAAACCATTGGCACCATTTGCATACCTGTTGGCATTGGTCCTCTACCATATATCATAGGCTGCTAAAGAATAGTAATCTATGAGATGAATACGATCAATTACAAAGTGAAGAATCGTTGATGAAGACATGAAGTACAAAGAAAATACCTGTTGGAACGCAGCAGCAGCAGCACCATAACCAGCTGTTAGAGGTGCATACGGGTTCATTGGAAATGCACCATATCCTGGATGGGGAATATAATTATGATGTGGTACCGCATTGTGAGGACTAGCTGCATCAAACTTCTTTTCAGTCTGAGGCTTTGCAAGAACTACTTCTAACATCTGACCTGCAATCCACATCCACTTAATTTATTTGCCAAGTGAAATACACAAGTACATTTCTAGTTTGGTACAGAGATTTCATATAGCTGATTCAGCTGAGAAATCGTAGACAGATTGATTAAAATACAGCAGAAAACACAGAATGACACTATCATAAAACTAACATGCTAAGTAATGTTAAACCTCTGAATAGAGAAGCATCATACAGTGACGCATGAGCGTAAATTTCAGAATTGTCACAAAACCGGACTAAACAAAGATGCATGGCATTTTTAACTTATTCTAGTAATAACATAATCCTAAGCTAATGTGCACAAAATACCCCCTCATATTGGGAAAAGGAACCCCGTGCTCGTGGTATTTCCATTCTTTAAAAGTTAAGTAGCCCTCCATGCTACGTAGCAATACCATACCATCAAGATATGTTCTGGTTGTACGTTTCCACAACTTTACATCATTTTAGACCAATTAAATGGAGATCACACAACTAAATGCACAGGGAAATTCTAGATTATAATTCAGAGAGAGAAACTAAAAGTATTTACGGAAGCACATATCAATACAACAATGACAACACTCCTCAAAGCCAACAACCTATCAGCAGGAAATATACCAAGACCCAACAACCCAACTCGTTCATTAGGCATTGTACAATATTCGAGTCAAAGTTGAAAAGTAAAGAGCAATTCAATCAGAGTTGAGACAAGTTTGTGGAAGTAGAAACATGTTTCGCTATAAACTCCATTGGTAGAAAAAGTTTCGGCAATAAACTTCATTGGTAAAAAAATTTCCGAAAAGTTTAAAAAACTGTGAATGGGCACCGATATTTCACTTGAAATGCACCTTCAAACCAATATTTCACAAAAGTTGTGTATTTGCAAATACTCATGCCCAAATTAGTATTTGCAAATACTAAGTCCAGAATTTGCAATATAGAAGTATATTCATGCATAAGCAGATCCTTAATAATTTAAAATACTAAAGCACAATCTTTAACCATATTACATGCCTTCAAAAAAAAATAATCTAACAAGTAGCTCAAGGAATTTAAACCCAATTGTGAAATGATATTTGCTAATAGTATTTCAATGATTTTGGTGAGTTTTTGCTTTTACCATTCAAACTCAGGGGAAGACTTAAGTTGAGGTAAAAGTGATAGGATGCCTTCTTTTTAATCATTTTTGTGTCCGGACCAACGCATATGCACCTCGACTATTCAAACGGGTACCTGCTACCTCCGACCACTAAGGTATAGGATAACTCTCCACCAAGGTGGGGATGGTAAGAAAACACCTTTTGTTTTTGCTTATTTGAACCTAACACCTCATGATTCTCCTCCTACCCCGCTGGCCACTAGTTCAACCCTTAGATGCAGGATGCCATGTCTTCCAATTTTATGTTCTTTCTTAGGTCTAATACTTGTAACACTACAGTGCTAGCAAAACTCAGAACGAACTAGATATATTTCATAATAAAAATATGATCGCAAATTGCCCTTTGCCCACCTTTAGTGGTTTAAATGCAACAAAGCATCTCATAAGAAATGAACCATACCCAAACTCAACCTCAAAAGCCAGTTCATGAGGTGAGGAATACCCAAGACCATACAAGGAGATCAATTACATGTCCTACAAGCAATGTGGGACCACTTAACCCCCTTCACCCTGCTCAAGTGTGCCAACTCGAGTATGAACAACATAATATGCAAACATTGGGACACATAATAATAGGTGTCATACTGTGATACTATGATAAGAAATGAGCCATCAGCCTAACTTGGCCTCAAAAGCTAGCTCATGAGCTGAGAATTGTCCTAAAGCATATAAAGAGACCAATTCAGATCCCACAATCGATGTGGGACAACTTATCAACATCGATATCATGGTAATTGATTTTTCTCTTTTATGATTAAAACAAATACTTGGCAATAAGTTGACGGTAAATGGGAGATGCCCAATGAACTAATGATTGATCTTGTTGTCTCTAATCGTTGTACTGAAATAAAAAGCATTTATACTCAAAAGAGAAAATGTGAGTCTTGCATGAAAAAGAAAGAAAGAAAGAAAAACAACTGAGGACATCTAGTAAAGCACGAATGCAACGAGAGGTTCAAGAATATTTCACAAGGTTAAAAGTGATTCTAATTAATTGAAAAAAATGTAGGTTGAATCATCTTTGAGGATGGCTTCCCAAAAACAAATTTGGGTAGGCAGTTTTTTTCTTAAGTTGGAAGAGACAAATTAGAATAACCTAACTGGCGCACCAAAAGCTACTTGATGGCAAGGAGGGAAGCAGAATTTGATGGAGCAAACGACCCCAAGAGAGAAGACCATAAGAATGACGTTCAAATCAGGTCTAGCTCAACAAAGCAAAGGAGGAATTTTTAGAAGTTTCAAACTCAAGAAGACGCCCCAAAAAAGAAGAGATTCTTTGTTACCCAAGCAGCAATCTCTTTTTGCAGGTTATCATCAATAAGATCCTCATTACTTATCCAAAAAATGAAAAGATTCTTTGGTTGGAAGTTTGACTTGTAGTATGACTTTCTACTTGAAAGAGAGGATACATCATAGGCAACCATCACTTGATCATGACAACTATAAATCCTATGTATCCATTCAGTTCATTCAGATACTTTTCACTATGTATCTACTACTTTAATTTGATCATGGGTCCTTGTTGAGTGCAATTGAACTAACAACGAACTTTGACAAAAGTTGTATTTGTGTGATAGGTTGAACCAATTTTAGGCTTAACTAAAAATTAATTGATCTTGCAAGAGCTGCAAAACCTGAGTAATGGAAATTTCTCTCTTTGAGATGGAAGATTAAGGGACATTTTTAATCTAGATTTTTAGTTTAACTGTTCATCTTATAGTTTGGTACAGTCCAGAGTCCAGACTTCGTAACTAGGTTCATAGTCTTTAAACAGATCTACACAGGATGACTTGATCCAGGAAAAGCCTATAACTGTCACGGGATTCAGAAATACACATTACACTCCTGACAACTGAACTGAGTTGATTTTAGTTTCAGCACAGCCCTAAGCAGTGAAACTTGTCTGAAAATCTTGAAATGGAAAAAGAGCATACACAGATGAGAGTTGATCCAAAACTGGGAAATATCTAGAGCTTTCACCCCAAAGTCAGTTTGACTTGAAAAAAACAGGCATCATCCATTACAATGGGATCTGGTTAATCATAGTTTGATAGTCCCAAATTTGAAACTAACTGTTTCAAACTCTTGAAAGAAAACATTTGCAGTGTTATAAAAGTTGATAAAAAATGAGCATATAGATCGCTTGCACCCCAAGGTCAGATGAAAAAAAAAAGTATGTCAATGACAATTGGACTTGGCCAATCTTACTTTTTGTTCAGCCCAAACTGTAATACTTAATTTCAAAATCTTTAAAAAAAGAAATTATAGAGGATGAGAGGAGGTGATGTGAAAATTGGCTATATTCAGATGGTCATTTTGCTTTGATTCAGAAACAAAGGCACCAGACTCCTGACAACTGAAGTAACCTGACTTTAGTGTAGTACAGTTCAAACTCTAGACTTATTTCCTCGAAGTCCTAGAAATAATTACACAGGATGAGAGTTGATCCAAATACAGGCTATAGTATCTAGATTGCTTTCACCCCAAGTTCAGCACAAAAACAAAATAGGCCTCACACTCCTGACAACACTTATGGGCATTTCTTCTTTGTAATCTCTTTATGATATCCTCCTAACTTTAACACAATCTATCTATGATATAACAGAATATGCCATCAGTACAGTTTATGTATAAAGGAATAAGAATTCCAACTTTCATTACTAAGTTTTCCAACTAGATTTAGCAAATCCTAAGAAAATATCAATTATAGCAAACTAGGAATTGTTCAACACAAAGCCTCAGCTGGTACTAAATGTTCCTAAATAGATCCTTGAAGCGCATAATACAAATGAAAATTCTCAGATGATCAAGGACTTTTTAAACAAAAAAAAAACATATCACAAGCACATCCATCTCTACTCATTGATCACTTTAGGTATGTCCTCACAATGACGGACTAACTTCATGCCCACCCTCACCCCTCCTCTCTCTATCTCGTGATTTATTTATTTTCCTTTTGTTCTTTTCCTTGTTGGGAAGGGGAGAAGTGATTTACAGGAGGAGCCAGTGGAACACTCAGATGTAGATCCTGAGTTTTCCTTTATGCAATGTATGTTTTCCACTTGGTATTTACATGTCTAGAAACATTACCATTTACTTCATATGTTTCAGTGTCTTTAACAGCTTTCAGAGCGCTTGACCTTTCTGCATAATGGACAAATCCAAAGTCTCTTTTACCACCAACCTTGGCTGGCGGCATAACAACTCTGGTAACTTCACCATGGCGTTGGAACAATTCCTTCAATTGTTCAGTAGGAGTGTTTTCTGGAATGTTCTTCACATAGAGTGCTTTAACCTGCAAAAGACAACAGAAGATGTGTAATACAATGTGCAAACTAGCAGAAACAGGTTGAAATAAGAGTCTTTCTAATAGCGAAAAGCACAAAGAAGCAAAAATAAGGTCCCATAGGATTTGAAGCAGAAAGCAAAAAGTGATGAGCATGGTTCTTTATGTGAAGAGCACTATTTACTGGAAATAGACAATAAAAAGGGTAACCCAGGGTCCTAAGATCACGCTGTGCGAGGTCTGGGGAAGGGCCGGACTACTATTTACAGAAAATTAAAAAATATGATACGTATATGACTTTAGTAATATAATAATCCAATTTCAATAAAAATACTAATTTCAATGCTTATTTACAATAATGTCAAGAATAATCCAACACCTCAAGATGGGATTCATAACCGGATTCCTCATCGGAATCATTTTGCGCGTAATTCTTTGGAGATCACATTTATCTTAAGTGCATAGCTTCACCCATGAAGCAGTGATTCCTCACTTTGCATAGCTTTGTCGCTTAATAAAACTAACTGATAGAAAAGATTTCATTATTTTGCACGGGTGGATCTTCAATCAGACAATTGATTCGTATTGGATTTGGACAATATAACAAGTAACCTAACACCATACCAAATGTGGATTTATTTTTTGAAACTGGTAACATTTGTATTGATATTAGTACTTAGGTAGTACTGGAAGAACCATATTTACAACAGAGGAAGGTAAAAAAAAAAAACAATCCTAACTCTAGATGGACCCTAAAACATCTAGAATTGACTCAGTCTCATTAGAGTAAACATTTGTACACCAAAATCAGAACAACAAAATACATTTAAGTTTTAATCTCCTGCACATTGTTGCTCCTGTTTTCAAAACATCCGTCATTTCTCTCTCTCTCCATATTGTCCATCTACCAACTATGTGATTTAGCTCACTATGACTAATCTTTTTTCTTTTAGGGATGTAATAGTAGTGACCATGCCAGCTCGCACACACTACCTTGATGATAGCACAAAAAGTACCTAGCCCAACACCAAGTCCGGCAAAGATACCAAACAAAAGTTTGAAGACTTTTAACTCTCTTTGAAAAGGTTGGATGCTTAGAAGAGCCACAGGAGGAGCCTATGGAAGTATACAATATGACCTAATTAGTGCTCAAGGAAGGGGGTCAAAGGTTCAACTCAAGAGAACAGGTGTACAAAAGGCCAAGAGTAAGAATGGCATCAAAAGCGCCGTCAATTTTGCACCGATGTTTTTGGCAACAGAATGGAGGCAATGCATTCCACCCCCAAAAGCACACCCCCACAAAATAGGCAACATTTTGGGCCAGTGAACACTCAGACCAAAAGCACCTCCTGCGCTTTGCATTCCGAACCAGCAGAATTGAATCCTGGGATGAGCTATTCTTAGTCCTACTTTCAAGGTTAATTTGGGTACTTATTTATTTACGACCAATGTAACCCATGGTATAAATAGTTTTCCAGGGGTTGTTCTTCCTTCTTAGCTAGCCTTTGATGAATATAGATTGTATCCTTACTCAACTTCCAAACCCTCATTGGTGCTTGCTTGACTTGATTTCCTCTTGGGGGTTTCAAATGCTCTTGGTGCTGAATTGAAATTTCCCAATAGAAGGTATTCGGCTTTTTTGCCAATAATTACCTATTTAATTCAATTTTGTATCAAACATCTATTTCTACACCTTCATCTATTTTATTCTGTGATTCTTTACTTGTTCTTCCATTAATTCTACTATCACTCCACTATTCCATAATCATGTAAGAGTATCTTTAGCAGGCACTAGGTTTACGAGTTTTAGTTCTTAACAAATCATATACACTATGAATTCTGCAGTAAAGCTACCCACCACAACTCTCCCCCAGCTATGGTTACAGCACGCCCAGAGAACCAAAAAGTTTGAGCTACCATCACAGTTTCCTGACTCAATAGTATCTAATGCAACTCAAATATATAATGACAATAAGTTCATTAGTTTTATGCACATTAAAAATACCAGCCTTATCCCCCTCCTCATTCCTAGCCACACCCACAATGCAGTAAACAAAGAAAAGAAGTTTGACTCAAACCCAATAAAAAGAAAAAGAAGAAGATGAAAGCAATTTTCTGGAAATACAGGGGGGAGGGGGGGAGGACAGGTAGCGTACTGCAGTCAAGCCAACAGGGCCACAAGTGGAAAAAAAGAATAAGGGACTGATCATTCTGCTGTTGGTAAGGGTTCATAGTAAGAATCAAACACCAAGCATGTGACATTTGACACTTGGAGAAACAACATATCAAGAGTATTTGCTTAAGATTTCATAAAAGCTACTCAAGTAACTGTGAGATATATGGATTTTACCTGAGCAGCGGCAGAAGAATGATCAGGTGTAATCTTTGGGTCAGCCCAGGTGACAGTTGGTGAATTTCCCTCCAGCTTAAAATTTGTACTTACCATTTTTCTCCGAGAGTAATCCGCACAGGCATTATTGTAATATTCAACAAAAGAAAAGCCCCTATTACGTGCTGGGTTTTGAGGATCCTTCAGTCAAATATTAGAAGTTTATAATTGTCCATGAGATGCCCATGATAGAGTTGCAACAATTTATATAAGTGTTTAGGACATCAATACACACCTTTATGAGTTCTATTGTTTCTGCACCAGGACCAGTCCCATCAATGACTTTTCTGAAGTCGTCATCAGACCAGCTCTTTGGTACATTACCAATGAACAATCTGTATTTAGTTTCTGACAGTGAACACCTTAAGGTTTTTCCCTGGATTGATAATAAACACAAAAACAAATAAATTACAAAATTATGCACTTAAACTAAAAGAGAAGATAGAGTTATAGAAAAATATGATCAATGAAGCCAAGTGTGGATGCAGAAATCACCTTGAATTCTTTGTTATGCAATTCTTCAATAGCCTTTTGTGCCTCATCTTTTGTTTTGAATGCTACAAAGGCAAAACCCTTGCTTTCACCAGTATCCCTATTTCTCATGACTCTGACCTGCCAAGATATGAGATGATGCCACAATCAGGGAAAAGCAAACAATTGAAGTATGTCACAAACATATGCCTCTTGCAAAACTTTCACATTACTTCCAGGGTAGTAATTGGAACTACCTCATGTATTTCACCGAGTGGTTCACAGAGATCCCTCAAGTCTTCTTCAGAAACATCTCGAGGAATACCACCAATAAAAACCTCAGACCCATGTGGAGGGAGAGCTAGAAGTTCAGCATGCTCTTTTTGTTCCTCTTCAGAAAGAGAAGCACTAGGCTTTTCTTCATCTGCAGCTGGCTCCGAAACATCACCCATATCTGCCTCTGGAGACTGCTCTCTCCCACTGTCTCCACCTCCAGAATCATATGATTGTTCTTCGCCATTTTCATCACCGACTTCTCCAGCTCCTTCATCTTCTATCAGTTCTGCATCTTCATCTTCCTCAGAGTAATTTTCATCATCAAGATCCACACGGTCATCAATTTCAGTATTCTCTGCCATGACTGTTTCGCGTTGCAGATTTTCTCATACAACAAATAAACAGGCCTGCAGACCACATTTATGTTAGCTTTTTTCCTTGTTGACAGATATACATCAATCAATCAACCAATTAGTCAATCAACTGTTTCACACCCAAATTACTTAGGGTTAGCTATATAGGTATGTCAAAGGATGGCAAAATCATATTTTTCTTTAAAAGAGCAAGTCCACCCTATGGACATGCAAGTAATGAAGGAAGTTCAGTACTTTCTCCTGTTGTGCACCAAGAAGGAAACACATGTAGGGCAGATAATATTTCAATAAATTCAGGGAGACAAAAATACAAAATCAACAAATGTGCAACCAGTTTCAAACTTATAGAAACACTACTTCTACCACTTTCTTCCTTCTCCATCTTTCGAAGCCCAATGTTCATTAGCCCATGGTGGCATAAATATAAGATGAAGTAGTAAACAATGGAGAAATGAAACTTCTTGGGTCATAAGAAAGAAAATACACTATTATCAATAGACCAAAAGATAAAAATGCATAGAAAAATAGCAAAGACACTTCCTCAAAAAGTTAAGATAACTTTCACCACTTGTTTGTCTAATGTTTAAAGTGCTCAAAATGTCTATAGAAGGACAAAAGCTCTTCAGTGGACTCAACCAATTTTAGAACCAACATAGAACTATGAACTCATATAACAATTCAGGTATCTAAGGAGTTAAAATCAACCGCAAAACAAAATCTTAGAAATCAAACATCCGGAAAAAAAAGAAGATAATTTTGAAAACCCAGAGCTCAAAAATTAACAAAATAATCAAACGCTCAATACACCTATTAAAAATAAACAAAAGCTCTTCACTGAACTCAACCAATTTTACTACCAACATATAACTAAGAATACATTTAACAATTCAGACATCTGAGGAGTTAAAATCAAAGCTAAAAAATATGAACACCACCCCCAACACAAAATCCATTTTTTTTCCTTTCAAAAATGGTAAACAGAACAACCATGGTCGGAGCCAGGATACCACAAGGGGGTTCATCAAAAAATTACCTTAGTGAAAATTCAGTCTCCCATTGAGAACGACCCAAATCAAAGATCCGAAAAAGAGAGAAACTTGAAAACCCAGAGCTCAAAAAAACAAATGCACCCAGAAAAACTAATGAGTAACAAAACCCTAACACAAACATAGATAAGTCCGTACACATCTATCAACGTTTTATATATAAAAATTCAAGATTCTGAACCGGTAATTCCATAATAAAGCTAAAAAAACATAGAGATGGTAAAAATTGATAAAGGGCAAAAGGAAAAAACCTTGTATGAGTATGGGCGGAAATGATAAATGGCAGAAATAGAGAATGTGAGAAGAAGACATTATATGTATATGTATATGTAGTAGTAGTAGAAGAAGAAGAATATATGAGTATTCGGGGGATTTGCATACCCAAAATTAGAGAATTTTTTGCTTATCTGTGTTGTGTTTCTGCTTCTTTAGGAGGAGAGAGTTTGAAGGCGAAGAAGCTAAATCTCAACAATACTGTGAAATTTACACACACCAAAAAGCTCTTTCAACCTCTTTTATACTTCCTGCGATTTCAGTGTGTTCCCAATTTGGCCCTAATTTGGGTATTTGGTACTCTCTACGCCCCGCTGCCCCTGAAAAAGAGGTTGATTTTGTCAATCCATAGATAGAGTTGTAGGGGTATTATCGTCAATTTGAAAAAATGAACCAAAATTGCCCTTGTACTATTGAAAAAGATTTGTGTGTTTGGTACAAAGATTTTTCAATTTACTCGTGTTATGTTTTTGAAAATTTTATTTTTTTTAAATTTAAGGAAAATGTCTTACCTCCAAAGAGTAAAGAAAATATTTTTTTGGAACTAATTTTCAAACCGCATACCTCAACCTTTCATTCTAACTGAAGTTTTGGCTATCGATTCTCAATATTAATTCGGGATCCAACTGTTGATGTTAGATTCGGAATTCGAATTATGACTTTGATTGGAGACCCAACTTCTGAGTTTCGAATTGGGTCAGATCCTATTTTGATGTCGGATTTCGAGTCATAATTTGAGATTAGATTTCGGATTGGGTGTCGAAGTCGAGTTATGAGTCAGGTGTCATAGTGGCGTTCCGAGTATAGGTGGAGGTTGGGTCCCAGATAGGGAGTCAGAGTCGAGTCCCGCGACGGGTGTCGGGATCGGGTCCCGAGTTGGTGATACGTCATATTTTGATTCAAAAGTTGGATCATGCATTGGCCGTCAAGGTCGAGTTCTGATTTAGAAGTCAGTTCTTGGGTCAAGGGTTGACATCAGGATCTAGGTCAAATGTCTAGTTCGGGTATCAAATTCATCATCGGGGTTGGGTGTTAGGATCGGATCTCAATAGAAAATCGAATTTCGATTCAGAGGTCACATTTAGGTGTGCCACTCAACAGGAATCAAACGATTTTCTTGATTTTTTGTGTATATTAGAACATGAATTTTTTGGTAATTGAATTTCGGGCATATATTTCAACAAAATTTACATGACCCTTCGTAATGACATGTGGGAACAATACATATAACTTCACCATGACACAAACCATTTTTTTTAGCATTTAAGAGCCACGCAACAAGAATTAGGCGATTTTCTCAATTTTTCGTGTGTGTAAATGATTTTTTGGGTAATATAGGTTTGGGTACATTTTTTGCAAAAACTTTATAGAACCCGTTGTAATGACCTATGGGAAAAATAAATATACCTCACCATGATCCAGATCATTTTTTAGCATTTAAGAGCCACACAACAGAATTTAGGAGATTTTCTCAGGTTTTCGTTGGTATGAATTTTTTGATGATATAGATTTTAGTTACCTTTTTTTAATAAAATCTTTACAAGACATTTCGTAACAACCTATGGGAATAATACATATAGCCTCATAATGGTTCATGCAACTTTTTAAGTATTAAGGGGCAATCAGCAGATTTAGACGATTTTCTCAATATCTCGTGTGTTAGTACATTAATTTTTTGGTGATATGGATTTTGGGTATTTATTTTGCAAAACTTTACATGATTCTCCGTAGTGACCCGAGGAACAATATGTATAGTCTCACCATGATTCACGCCACTTTTTGACATTTAGGGACCACTCAACACAAATTAGACGATTTTCTCAATTATTCGTGGTGTGTTAGTATATGATTTTTTTTGGTAATATCGATTTCAGACACATTTTTTGCAAAAAAATACAAGACCCTTTGTAATGACTTGAAGAACAATATGTATACACACCATGATCCACACCACTATCTTAGCATTTAGAGGTCATTCAAGAGGAATTAGGCGATTTTTTAGGTTTTTCGTGTATTAGTACATGAATTTTTTGGTGATATGAATTTCGGACACATTTTTTGGAACAATTTTACAGGACCATCTGCAATGACCTGGGAAAACAATATGTATAGCCTCACCACTTTTTTAGCATTTAGGGGGCACTCAACAAACATTTAGGCGATTTTCTTAGTTTTCGTATGTGTTAGTACATGAATTTTTTGATGATATGGATTTCAGGCACAATTTTTGCAAAATATTTGCATGACCGTGAGGAACGATACATGTAGCTTCATTATGATCCACGTCATTTTTAGCATTTAAGGACCACTCAACAAGAATTAGACAATTTTCTCAATTTTTCATATTTTTAATACATGAATTCTTTGGTGATGGATTTTTGTCACATTTTTCGAAATAATTTACAGGACCCTACGTAATGACCTGGAGAACAATATGTATAGCATCAACATGATCCATACTATTTTTTTAGCATTTAGGGTCCTAGGAATTAAGTCATTTTCTTAGTATTTTTGTTCATGTTAGTCCATAATTTTTTTGGTGATATATATACCTTTCGGGCACTTTTTTCCAAAACCTTTACAGGGCCATATGCAATGACCTGGGGGAACAATACTTATAGTCTCACCATAATCCATGCCACTTTTTTTTTTAGCATTTAGGGTCACTCAACAAGAATTAAACAATTTTCTCAATTTTTCATCAGTTCCTGAATTTTTTGGTGATACGGCTTTCAGACACTTTTTTCCAAAACATTTACATAACCTATAGCCTCACCATGATCCACACACTTTTTTAGCATTCAAGGGCCACTCAATAGAAATTCAAGATCTTGTTAGTTTTTCGTGTGTAAAGTCCAATAAAGTTGGGGAATATGATTGACCTAATCATTATTTATCTTACATTATTAAAATTCTGATTATTGTTATAATCATAATTTTGCCTAGGTAGAGATAATACATAATTTTGTTTTAATTTGTCTATATAGCTGCAAGAAAGCATGCTTTGATTTGTATCCTGGATGAGGAAGATGTCTCTGATACAGAATGCCAACACATTGGAGCTACACAAGTTGAACAAGAAGTGCTTAAAGCACCAAATATCCTATTTTTATCAGTTCCATATACAATTGTTTTATAGAGTAAACATAGGATTTTCTTTGATTGAAACTGGTTTAGAAGAAAACACTAGGGGAATTACAACACTAGTCAACATTAATAAGAAAGTAAACTAGCAGCTAACAAACATCTTGACTTGAGAGAACTGAAGTTACTTGCATCTCTCCCAGGGGTAGCTGATGTCTTTTTCAACGTGGGTTTATTCATGGGAAGTCTCTATCAGCCAGGAGCAAGAATGACAATATCTTCAAAATGCAAATCATGTGGTGAGAAAATATCAGAACACTTCCAGATGCTGAATTGAGCCTAAACTAGCACCAGATGTGTATTCATGGCTAGACGACCAAACTCCATTAGCGAGTGACAGTGTTCATCAGAGGAAGCCCAAACATCACATTGCAAGCATACTTTACAAGGAAATGAATTTATCGAATTTGAAGTGACTTCGGCCTCCAAGTGGATTGAGAAGTGTAAAATCAAATCTAGGGGTCATCCAATTCAACAATCTGTGCTCTTTTCTCAGCAGCTTTCTTCCTGATGAAGATGCCCCATCTCAATGCTGCTTTCAGTTTGAGCCACCCAACGACAGCCTTTCCTGAACGTGTACGGTCCTCATCAATACCAAAGCTTGAAGACATACTGGGCATGTATGGTGATCCATATGGGTAATTATTATCTTCTGAGGTACTAGAAGAAGCATGATGCTGGCCACCCATGTTGAATATATGGAGAAGATGTTGCATGTCGTCATTCTCTAACATTTCATGACTTCTGGTGCGTATCTCTTCCTCTGTGAAGAAGTCATCAGTTCCTTTATAGGATGAATTAGGAGTGCTAGCAGCAAAAAAGCTAGAAAATGATGGCTGTGGTGGGTGAAGGGCCAGTCTACTCTCACTTCCAGGTTGCTGAGCTTGTTGCGACATGCCTACAAAGTGGTTTTGAGAAAATGAAGCACCACTTAACTGTTCATTGACACTAACATTTGTGTTCTGAGACTCTGTGGTATATGTACCCATTAGACTATCGTTATACCCTGGCAAAACAGAGATATGTTCATTATGAAGCAAAACTTGATAAAAGATATGCAAGAGACAAATAGGTGTTATTGCATATCTAATGAGCTAGCTCAACTGGGCAATTATTCATACATAGATCAACGAATTGTTAGGGAAGAGTTCCAAAGCATTCGAGTGCTTAACTAGAATGAGTTCATGTCATATATGGCAGTAAAATATAAAGCTTAAGGTACTCTGTCCCATTTTACGAGACAAACTTACTAGGTATGGTGACCTATGTTGCTCAGATTCTTCAAAAATGTTGCCGAACCCACGTCAAATCCTCAAAAAATGCACTACTTTTGGAGGATCAAACACGCACCCGTCAACATTTTAGAAGAGTCTGAGCAACATAGATGGTGACTAAGAAGTAAATTGCCTTGGACATAAATTTTTTTAGGTCACTTGTATTCTATTCCAAAAATCAAACCTGCCACAACATGTTACAGGTTTACTAATTGCAAATATAGGAGATTATCAGGAAGATCTTCAACCTTATTAGCAAAATTACAAAAATGCCTAAAACATTCATCACTGATTCTAGATCTTCCATAAACTCTTGTTTACACCAAAAACGAAACAAAAGCAAACAATTCATCTTCATCTTCTGGATGTTGTTGCTTTTGTTCTGGAAGCATCTGAGATTCCTTTCTTTCCACGCAGACCACCAAATACATGAGGAATGATCTTTCATAAGTGGTTAAGAGTAAAACATCACATTATCATACTCAGACTTTTTCACACTGATTCAACACTATTGCAGTCCTCTTCGATTGAGATTCGCAACTAGCTATATTTTCTAAAATAGGTGGAATTGTTGGAGGGAGTAAAATGCTGAAACAATGGATAACTTGCTTAGAAAGGAATTCACTTGTGACATCTACAGTAGGTTTCTTTCTAAAGCACTATAACCACAGAGCCAAGATGTACTTGCCTCTGTATGTGTGTATAATAGAGGACAACAAAAGCCCAAAAGTCACAAGTATAACTCTCTTTATTGAGTATTGACCAGCAAAGGTTACAACTTAAAGTGCTCTACAGATAATCAGATAGATATAAAATTAATTTGTTTTTCCAACTCTTGGGTTGTTAAAGCTATATGTCAAATTTTGATGTCTTAATGCAAAGAACTATTCCCAATAAACCCATAACTCTTGGATATGAAGGCATAGTTGATTAAATGAAGAGAAAGTGCAAGCAGGTAAAAATGACAAACCATGTTGCGGGAAACAAGTTATCAGAAGATCGCCAATCATAGACTGGTAAAGGACGACAACACGGTAACACAAGTCTACAACAACACTGTCTCAAACTTAAGAAAAAAGGGCATGCCAGAGAATATGCGATGCGTTATTTACACTCAAAGTTCAGGCTTACGTTACTGGATGTGTGGAATTTCTTATCATTTAGAGTCATATTCAGAAATGAATTATCTTTCAGTTACCATAGGAACTCACTAAGAAGCCAACTCAGCAGTAAAAGCAAAACAATGAACACAATAGAACACACTTCAAGATAACATTTCTTAAGCATCAAACTAATATCTTGCATCTGATGCATATATATATACCTTCCAATCCCATGTTCAATCCTGAATTCATAGGAGGCTGCTCTGATGAAGTTGAAGCAGGAAGACTTGGCAGATTGAGTTGATGATCAAATGAATTAGGATGGTTCTGAGAACCAGTTGAAGGATCATACTGAGGAGCATCTGAGGTTTTATTCTGATTAAGGCTTAAAAGAGATTTGCCATCATATTCAACAACATGCATCCAGTTGTCATATGCCTTCTTGACTAAGCTGTCCACATATTCCTGCAAGAAAAGTTTGATGTTTGCTTAAGCTCTTCCTCATACCGGGAAGGTACAATCCAAAGCCAAGCTTATGCAAATGGTAGTAACATGTTATATACTAATAACCACTACTTTCAACGTTTTACAATATGACAGAGATAAAAGAAAGAGTACAAACCACATCAAAATATAGGCTAAAAACAATAACTCCCAAATAAGTTAGGGTCGGTTATATGAATCCTCATTTCGTCATTTAAGCTCATATCATATCATAATAATAATAAACAAAATAAAAGTGAAAAAAATACATTAAAATTATATAAAAAATAAAATAAATAAAAGAGAAAAATACAACAATAATAATAAGAAGAATAATAATAAAAGTTTCATACGAGTCTAAAACCTATACTCAACTAGTAGCTATCACCTATTATGGATCTTTTTCCTCCATTATGCCCTATCTTTAGTTAAGTTTGTATTGATACTAAGCAATTGTAGGTCTTCTGAGACCACTTCATTCCATATAATTTTAGGTCTACTCTGTCCCCTTTTAACACCTTCACTTACCAAAGTTTCACACATACGGACCGGTGCATCTATAAGTCTATGCAGAACATGTCCAAGCCATCTCAAGCGACCTTCTCGCAGTTTATCCTCAATGTGTGCTACTTGCACTTCTTGGCGAATGCGGTCATTTCTAATCCTATCTAATCTGGTAGGACCGCAAATCCATCTTAGCATCCGCCATATCCATCTCTGCGACACTCATATTGTGGATATGTTGGACTTTACCCGACATTCACTACCATACATGATACAACAAAGTCAGTCTTATAGTTGTTATATAGAGTTTATCTTTCACTTTGATAGGTATCCTTCTATCATATAACACCCTGGTAAAACTTCTCCATTTCAACCATCCCATTTTAATCTTATGAGTAACATCTTCATCTATCATTCCATTGTCTTGACAAAATGAGCCTAAATATCTAAATTGTTTGCATTTTAGCACTGCAATCCCATCTAATCTCGCCTCAACTTCTCTCCTCTCATGCTGACTAAACCTGCAATGCAGGTATTTAATCTTACTTCTACTTATCCGAAAACCCTTACTCTCTAACATGCTTCTCCATAGTTCAAGCTTTTGGTTGACATCCTTGTTTCGTCAATAAACATAATATCCTCAGCATTTAAAGAGGCTAAAAACAACTTCAGTAAAAAAATCGTGCAAATTGCATAAAAATAGGGTGGTGGCTGGAAGATCGGTATTGGATTTAAATAGGCAGAAAATGGCTTTAGTAAAAATACTCGGTCTCAAATACTTTAGGGTCAAACACGGTTGGGCCGAAAGATTTGGGTTGTGAATAACAAAAACCTAGATTTAACCCATTTAGGGACGCTCGATAACACCCATTGCCTTGACTTCGGTATCCAATATGACAAAGTTAATATTTTTTTTGGAGGTGCTGGAAAATATGAATTCTTCTCTGCTTTACTGCAAGCAAATTGTAGAGCATAATGTTTTTTCTATTCTTAATTTTACAAAATTATTAGATGGGTAAGCAACTTATTCAAGAAAAGAAAAGAGAAAAAAGAATCAAACATAATTATGTAAAAGAGGAAAATGAATTCAAGAATACAAACCTTTTGATCCTCTGAAAGAGAATCAACTGAATGATACTGTCCACCAGAGATTAAACCACACAACTCATAAATATTGCTAAAAACAACCCCGACACTCTTCATATCATCAGGATAATAGACATAGAGCTTCCCACTAAGAACACAGGTCTTAGCATGCTCCACAAGAGCATCCCACATCTTATTTGACATTCCACTTCCCAGGATCTGAGACAATTAGGTGAAAAATAAAAAGAAAATGTTGGATATAACCACAATTATCAAATTAATTTCCGACGTTATAGGTTTGATATTATTACATTTCGGAGCCTCTGAGAGTCTCTCACGATGAGCCGTAGAAAGTCTTCCACCGTATATATGCCAGCTTTATTTAGCCTCTTGTGGAAGGATCCATCTTTTCCTATCTTTTCCAATCTCCAAACATCATCGTTTAATGCAGGTGGATAATGTTTCTTGTACACTGAAGAATAAGACAGTCACAGAACTACAACAGATAAGATAATTGTGATTTGCATAAAAAATGGCACATAATTTGACATTTAACAGACTCACATTCTCCTCGATGATCCTTCACACTGAAGGCTTCTGTTTTTGCCTCTCGAATATGAATTCCCTCTCGAGAACCTGATACAACTTTTAAGCCTAGCCTGAACTTTCTGCTTCTAATCCAGCTAGAGTTGTCAGTAAATGTAAACTCACCAAGACTACCTACACCTTCCTTCAATATCACTTGCAAGTCTCCTGTAAGAAGCGGCCTTTTCCCATCACGCTCCTTCACAATGTGAGACTCAAATTCTTCTTCAGTCCATCCATCTTCGTCCTCATTATTAAAATCTCCTCCAAGCACAACAACATCTAGTTTAACAGACGACTCTGGGCCGACTGTTACAACATGGCCTGTATTTCCATTAAGCAAGACAATATGGATAGCAGAACCCTGTTCTCCTTCTACTTTCCCTCCTGTAAAGAGAGGCAGTGACAATTTAGACCTGAACTGAAGCTGCAAATTTCTCCCATTTGGCCCTTCAATTCTTTTTGGAGAAACCCTGCATCATTTTTTAGTTGTTCAGATCAAGGTGGAGTGGACAGTCATTTAAAGCAAAATTACATGGGAACTCAAGTAAGTAGGCCTAACTCAAACCCCAAAAGCTAGCTATTGAGGTGGGAGTGCCCAAGGCCATATAAATCCCACCTCAGCACATAGTAGTACCCGATGTGGGAGTGGTCCATAAAAAACCAGAGGCATTACTCTAGCTTTTGATGAAATTGCCTTAGTGGCAAAGAGTTGAGTGGCAAAGAACCTCAAGGCTCTGATCCAAATTTAACACAGGCACTATTTTTAAGCTAACCAACACTATAGAGAAAAGAACAAAGATAGCATATTTTTAAGTAACATCCAAATGTTAGCCATGCTAATTCTTGAATTTATTCCATTACGTAATTAGCATCCAATGGAAGACTAGTAATAAATCTATACAATTTGAAAGAAGAAACTTATCAAAGGAAGTCAACTTAATTACAGATTGAAGTTTGGAACTATGACAATTCCAATAAAACCAGCGAAGCAAAGGGTAATTTCTGTTTGAAAAGGTTCACATAAATTATAAAATACCATGGAGTAGTTTAATGTGAGCAGATCATATTAAGCAACAGATATTAAGAGAAAGAAAATAGTTGATTCCAATCTGATTGAAGCCTGGGCCCTTTTCCATTTAGTATGCTTTAATATCTAACCATTTGTGGAGCTCTGTAAATTGATAAAGACTTAACAGAGACATTTTTTAAACTATATAATACCTTTCCAAACTGACATCATGTCTCCGTAACCACTAGTTTGACCAAACTAGCTCTTATATTGCTGCCATGCAGCACTATCGTTTCATGAAAAATCTACAACGTGGAATCTAATCAACAGAACATACTGAATACATGATTGCTACTATGGTACCTGCCTGACCTAAATTTGTAACGTCAATCAAAACCAGGAAAACCTCCTCTCTTATGTTCATATATCAATTCTATTTAGAGCAAACATTGATAGGTTCAAAGGTAAATCAAATGATCCTCAAGGGGATACATTGTAAACACCTAGAATCTGACATACCTTGCATTAAGTTTAGTAGGGCCAAGTTTTGCCAAAGCCCGCTCCACTTCTTCACTAACCTAGTGAGCACAAAGGAACATCCAGAAATAAAGATACAAGAACCACCAAATCCAGAAGACATCTTGTGCAAGTGCAACAAGAAAAGAAGATTTAAGTATTGCGCAGTGATCCCAAAAGCAGGAAACATAAGCACGCTTCAATGTTGTTTCCAACCAATATAGGAGCTCGTGTACTGGTGAATAGAGTTTCATGATCAAAATCTTTCAATGCCATGCAGCAGTACATTAAAAAATAGCCATTCCCAAATGTATTCACAATAAAACCTTGAAATTGAGATCAACAAATCACTTTCCCATACACAACTGAAATTACATGTTGTGATTAACAGAAGAGAGAGTCTAACACACTTAAAACCGTCAGATAAGAAAGAGAAACTTGAGTAAATGGCATCTCAAGGAAGCATTGACACTGTGCACATAGGCATAGATATTGAGAACACTCTCACGGGTAGAGAGAGAGAACTCTGTAGATATTACAACCGCTATTGTTAACAGAGGCGGACCGGACCTCCTTGGGTAGGGGGGTCATGGGCTCCCGGTAACCTCGGCAAAATGTATGTATATATCTTAAATAGTGTATATATTTATGTATTGGCACCCCTAGTAACAAAGGTAAAGTGGTTCCACTGGTTGATTTGAGGTGCACAGGTGGACTAAATAGCAGGCTCACCCGGGTTCGGTTCCCACAATAGAATTTTCCCAAATTTTGAACTTTTGACATTTTAGTAGTTACAGTCAGTTTTGTTTTGTTTTCAGTTGCTTCTTTTTTTTAAATATAAATCAGAGAGTTCCACCCGAAACTTTGTAGTGAGTAATTGATATGGCTTTGTTATTTGAAGAAAAAAAATTTAACATGTCTACATTAAAGATAGTGGTGCCCCCTGCAATTTCAATACCTGGATCTGCCACTGATTGTTAATAGTTATAATCCAAAACAATGACATATCAGACAATGGCCACATAAACCCGTGCCATAATCATCAGTTCTAAGCAGTCCTTCAAGATCAACTATCTATAACTTGTTCTGATTAGCTCGTATGGACATAACTTGTGCATTTTTTCATTTTTTAAGTGTTAATGTTGTTATACACTAATAAGTAAATATTTGCAGCTTCCAACTCATACTGGAATTAGATATAGTGTCACAGCAGTACAAGATACAACTGAATGGGTGGTTGAGACTTCCATGTATTAAGGTAATTAGAGATCACAATGAAAGTGTTTCTTAGCATCCGGCGAACAGGAAGAGAAGTGACAAAAGGTCCTAATAGCTTACAACTCTCCGAAGAATTGGCTCCAGTGATGAGCAGAGTTTCTGCAGACTGTCCACCTTGAGCGCTTCAACAATAACACTGCATTAACCATGTAGTTATCAATAAATGATGTAATTGTTACCATGAATGATACAAAGAAGATGAGCTCAGCTAGAATAGGTATTGAATTTCAGCTTCACAGAAAAGAATAAGATAAGCCAGTTCACACAGTTTTGTGTTAGATCGAAGCACAAAATATGACATCCAATAACTATAAAGCTATTGTTTTGGATTAAAGAAATTATGAACAAAACAACATATTTTTAAAAGGAAAAAATTGTAGTCTAGATGGTGACACTAAAAGTAATACAATTGACTGACCATCACATAGAATAGGCTTGTGAGAGAGGCATCTGCCAATTTGACGGTCTGAGATACCGAAGTGTATATAGGATTTCAAAGAAGTTGGCTTGATATGCTCATGTATTTTCAAAGTTACAAATTAGAGGGGATACCGTTCATCTCTTTGCAAGGTCGGCTAATCCTACTGACAGTTAACAGCTCAAACTTTGACTAGACATGTTAACTTACCTACTACATCACTTCTATTACTGTGGCAAGCAATCATGCCATATCCATTTTGCAAGACGAGGTGGCAACTGTCACAAATGTAGCTCAGATACCTCAAAACGACTTCCTCAGGAGATATCAGTCCATATATTACACTTAACAAACTGAGCCATGATAAAGCAGACAACACTATGAACCTCTGGAAATGATGCACCACATCAATATGTCCGGGAATGTAATACTTAAGAATTAAGCTTAAGAGAACATACTTCAATTGTCACTAGAAAAACCACAAATTGGCTAGTCATCAATCCAGATTTAACTCTTCCTTCCCCCAAGTACCAAACAACCATCAAACAGATTATCTGTTCTCAATGATCTTCGCTATGATACAACAAACATATCCGTCAAGATTATAACTTTTTTTAACAAATTTATTACCCACTACCCCCATTATCCTATGATCACTCTCAGCCTTCACCCTCCACAAGAATTTGCAGTGTCTTTCAATAAAAGTAGCTACTGAAACATGATTACTGATTTGATGAAAAATCAAAGTGCGACCCTGTTACTCTATTGGTAAAATTAGCTCAAGAAGAAAGTAGTAAAACCTATTTACATGGTACATTTTCTACACCCTGTTAATTTAGGATTATGGTAAATTTACCTGGCAAGAGCTGGTCTTTTTCTATCAGGTTGACCTTCTTCACTACTGCTAACATCAAGTCTACGTTTCTCTCCACTGGGTCTTTCCATGAAATTCCTCTCAATTACTGTATTGGGTATCTTTAGATCTGATTTTTCAGTTCAAATTTGAACTCCCAAATTCCTAACGGGAAGATTAAAAAGAGGAAAAATTAAAGAAACCAAAGATGAAAGCCAAAAGGGAAAGCGGGAAAAAATGAAAGAAAAAAGAGAAATGGTTGAGAGGTTTCGCGGAAATTTCGAGGAAGATCTTGAGATTTTGTTTTCATGGCTGCCTGCCTTTGGCTTGTATTACTGGTTATATTTAGTGATTCGGATCATATAAAACAAAAATCCATCAAACTTGAAATTCAATAACATCACACTAGTATAATTTTATAAAGTGGGGTTCGGATATGAAAGAGTGTACGTATAATATAGTAGTAACTAAAACAAAATAATATGATAGTCGAAATACAAGAAAAACATACTATGTAACTATTAGTATGAATGGATAACATATGTTATTTACTTACATTTTATCCTAATTTGTAACCTCTGAGCCTCCTATTTAAGGTCATATCATCGGTAAGCTGGAATTGCATCATGTGTCTAATCACATTTTCCCCAATACATTTTCAGTCTACCTCTACCTCTTATGAAACTATTCATAGCTAGCCTTTCACACCTCTGCATTATGACATTCGTATATCTCTTTTTCACATTTCTGAACTATTTCAGTCTTCATCGAAACCATTTCCGTCTTCTTCCCAATATTCTCATTTCTAATTTTATCTCTTTTAATATGCTCACACATCTATATCAACATCCTCATTTCTACAACTTTCATTTTCTCAATGTAAGAGTTTTTACTGACCAACACTCCACCTCATGTAAAATAGTCGATCTAACTATCACTTGTAGAACTTGTCTGTAAGTTTTGGTGACACCTTTTTATCATACAAAACTTCGAATGCGAGCCACCATGTCATTCACCCTTTTCCCAATACGGTAAGTGACATCCTCGTCAATCTCTCTATTTCCTTGGATAATAGACCTAAAATGTTTGAAATTTCTTCTTTTTTCGGATGACTTGCATATCAAGCCTCACTTTCATATATGTCTTGTGCGTTACGTTACTGAACTTGCACTACAAGCAGCATATGTCTTTGTCCTGTTCACCCTAAACTTTTTCGACTCAAGGGTCTGTCTTCAGATCTCCAACTTAACATTAACTTTATTGAGAGTCTCATCAATCAAAACAACGTCATCTACAAATAACGTCATCAATGTATTCATCTCTAACACAAATTAAAATGAGCTATAAGTTGATCCCTGGTATAACCCCATTAAAATTGAAAAGTGTTTTGGTGTAAGTCCTTATTCCTCTCATTATACTGCTCCACTAGTCTCCTTACCTGGTGAATAATTTTTGTAGTTGCACGTCCCGTTATGAATCTTAGCTGATTTACGAAAATTTTCATTCTCTTCCTTGCCCTCATCTCCGCCATCCCTTCTCAAACTTTCATAGTGTGGTTTAACAGTTTGATACTCCTATAGTTGTTGCAATTTTGAATGTAAACTCTTGTTCTTATACAACAAAATCATTGTACTCCACCTTTAATTTTCGGACATTGTTATCGTCCTAAAAATGACATTAAACAATCCATTTAGCCTCTTCATGTCCACCTTGCATGTGCTCTTCCAAAATTCCAAATGAATCTCATCCAACCTAATTTCTCTTCCATTATGTATCCTACGAATAACACCCTCAATCTTCTCTACCCTTATACGCCTATAACATTCAAGATTATGATGCTTTTTGAGTACCTCTAGATCCCCAAACACAATACGTCTGTCTTCTTCTTCATTAAAAGGTTTATGGAAGTATGACTATCATCTTTGTCTAATAAATTCCTCCTCCACCAGAATATTATCGTCCTTATCCTTGATGCACTTCACTTAATCTAGGACACAAGCTCTTCTTTCTCCACCTTGACTAGTCCGTACAATTTTCTATCCTCACCCTTGTCCTCTAATTCAATACAAGTATATTCAAATATTTTTCAAGAAATCAATCTAATGCATACTCAAATTTATTTTTAAAAAATGAATTATTATTTTTGATGTCTAAACAAGCCTGGCCTAGATATAATGATATGAGTGCAACTTGTCATGGATGAGTTTATATGTGACACACGCTTGGACCCTATTGCATATAAGAGTCTTGATAAAAGGTCGAACCTATTATTCATATTGAGTTTCTAAATATGTATCACAAACCATTAAAAAAAATCAATTATCAAAAAAAATATATATGATAAATTAAAGATAAAAGCACGTTAATATTAAATATCACAAGATTATGCAAAATATCTCATATCATGATATTATTGTTTTAGTGCATATGGATGAAAATATTTTATAATTATTTTATATTTGATTGATCAAAATATTCTTTTTCAAGAAAAACAAGTTCATTGAAAAATGAGGAAAATAATTTCCAGTAGAGAACAAATTTCATAAATGTCATTTCAAATTCATTATCTCCTCTTCACCCACCCAACACCCCCACCCTATCCAACCCTCAAAAGTGTTTTGCTAGACTACATAGAATTATTTTTTTTAATAATATAATTTACTTACTTTACTTCCTAAATAAAATAAACAAACTCACTTCTTTTTCAATAGAAATAGTTTTTAAAACTTTTTCGTTCATTCCAAACACACCTTTAGACAAAGCAACCTTATTTTTTCTTAATCACATAAGGGGTAGGGGAAGGAAAAAAGGGGGAGGGAATTATAGGAAGAATAATTCAAATGCAAAGATTACACAAATAATTAATTGAGAAAAATAATCCGGCCAGGAATCATTGTGAACAAACCTTAGTCATAACGTAAGAAAGAAATTAAAATACTATATGCTAAAATATTCGCGATAAATAAAATAGGCGCCACGCCACGGATGAGACATTTTTTCTCTCTTTTTCATATGAAGGGGAAGGTGACAAGGTTAAAGATAACAATGCTACTGCTGCTGCTTCTTGTTCTTCTTTTTACCTTTCCTCTTATCTCTCTTACTCTGTGGCTTGGGTCGAGATCTCTTTTTTGCAGATTTCTTGAATGGTTTCTTCTTACTTACCGGAATGTTTTGTTTGCTGTTTTTAGTTTCTATAGCATGTTGAACTATTGCTGATGGTGGTGGCACTTGAGCTCGGGATTCTTCTTCTTCACGAGAGATCTCACTTGTTGTCACGATGACTTGCACATCGCCATTGTCATATGTTGTAGTACCTTTTTAACAAGAAACAATAATCAATCCACAGGTTAAGTTACATAACTGCTGCTAAACAAATCCCAACTATCAAGTAAAGGGGCAGATGTAGCTTAATGTTACCGGGTACCTTTGACGTGAAACACAAATTTATGAGTAAAAATTGACTAAAATTGCAACAAATAGTAGATATCAACGCATAATGCTAAAGAACATTAAAGGTTGAACCCATGAAAACTTAAATCTAGGATTCACCTCTGATTAAGTATTAAGTTGACTTTATCTTGTGCCACAAGGGCAAAGCCCTACCTAACACCATTTTCATGTTTCTATGTTAAGTCTAGAGAAAAAGTAACTAATACTGTGTGTCAACCACCAGCATTAATATTTATGAAATAAGAAAGGAAGATCCGAGCATATGGAAGCAAAACTAAAAGAAATTATTGAAGCAAAACTAATTCAGGGAAGTTTGAGAAGCTTAATCGTCTCAGATACCATCAGTCACTTGGCTATAGTGCGAATAAAACAACTACATAAGCTTGTACGTCAATAATGATAATACAGAATTTGCATTTTTGGCATAGAGGGAAGTGAAGCAGCTAAGAAAATTATTCGATCATATGGTGTGATAAAGTGAAAAGAGCCAGTCAAGGGTGCCCTAAGTTTCTAAACCTTCCCTAGCCTCAGCTAAGTGTAATTCTACATTTGAACTCTATGGATATATTCCCTCTCCCTTGCACAACATAATAACGTGTTTACAAGTATGCTGATAACTATCAAAAGATATTACACATGGGAATTCTCAGCTTTTCCAACGAGGACCAGACCATTCTCAGTGAGATCTCTGGATAGACTTCAGCACTAAACAAGTTTCCACTAATGTCATTAGGGAATACCTGAGACTGTTGCATTAGGCTCATTTTCCTCTTCAACGTCAAGGTCCTCATCGGGTTCATCAGTTATAGCAGTTGAATCAGGCGCTGCTCCACCAAAGATGGCAAATTCTCTCTCCTCCTTTCTCTGTAAAAGCAAGTGAAAAAGTAAGATACCCCACCATGACAAGTTTGATTACATCAAGGTTGCAATTAGTAATAAAAGTAACAAATATTTGAATGATCGTACTAACTGCACTGCTAAACTGGAAGCAAATTTGACGCAATTGACGCACAACCAGGCAGACGAAAATGCATTAAGGCACTTCAGCCATAATCATAAAAGTAACAGTTATTAGAATGATTACCACTACAAAAGAAGCAAATTCGAGACAATTACTGAGACAGCAAGGAACTTCAAAGCCATGAAGGTATTTAACGATAACCTGGATTGTGTTAATCTCCGTAAGAAAAAGTAGAAAAATAAGTCAAATTTTAAAATGCTTTTGCTCACTGGTCCCCATTGTTTGTTTATAGATAGGCTTCGCATTAAGACCAGTAGAATTTGTATACATGTCTATTTAGTTGAGGGGTAATTGTCATGCACATAAATAAAATATAACAAGGACCTTATTTAACAAGCCATGGAGCATGATGCCACACTTATAACCTTGGCTATAAAATCACTTTGCTAAGGAGGGTAAAGGGAGAAATAAGGACTTGTTCCATCGTGGTTAGTATACATGCATCTGTTATTTGACGGAATCAGAGAACAGTTTGGGAAGGAAATCAACCTTTCTGTTCTGTGAGTTTACCCCCTAACAAATGTTGACTGGAAAAACTAAAAAGATTGTACTTAGTAGGAGGGCTGTTACCATAAATAATTACTCAGTTACCATAGGAAAAAGTGTTTTCAAATAGCAATCCATAAGACTTGGAGTAAACGAACGATTCAAGCTCCTTACAGAAGGAAGTTCAGCTTGATAACTCGATAAGCTGTATTGACAGAGCAAAACCACTCTTTCAAAGGTGGGATCAATCCCAACCTATTCATCTTAGCCTAACAGTCTATTCATGGAAGTAAATTATCCAAAAAGTCTCCTTACTAGACCTAACATCGTGTCATCACTTTCAGATACAAGGAAGTTGGACTAGTTATTAGAAGCCTGTGACAGAGAAAAATAGC